CCGTCTTGTTTTGCTCTGTAGCTGATCATGATGCAGTTGTATACATCATTCATGTTTCATCAGCAGAATTTTGATGGATCAATCTAAATTAAGTTCAATTTAAGCTTAGAGGCAACAGAGGCAAGATAAACCATGTTCTTTTGCCTGCTGAATATGAGTTAGTGAAAGGCTGAAGGCAAAATTTGTGTGACCAGACCATGTGTCTGCACAATCACCTCCTGTAGCCTTAAATATCTGCTTAAAATTTAGAGAGTGAAATAGGAGAAAATCATGCACTTTTAAGTTGTGATTGTGAATAGATGTGTTTAAAGAAAGGGATCAAAGTTTTGGCACAGTGATTGGTTTAGTGATTGGTTGAAGGTTTTCAAGTGTCTTGTAATGTTGGGTTTGTGGTGCCAAAGATAGTAATTTTCATTCTGAAGTCTGTTATTTGACCTGCTGTGCTTGCTGGTAATACACAGACAAAGAAAGTAAAAGCAATGACCCGAGAAACATGGACATGAGTTTTATTTTTATTCTGACTACAAAATGTTTTATTTTGAAACAATGAAATCTATTTTTAATGATACATAAGGTGACTTTATCAGCAATGTCCAGTGGTAGATATCTGATATTTGTTTGGATTTTCATTTACAATTTCTAACAACTGCTTACACACAAAATCTTTACATGTCACACAATTTTTGAAACCTCTTACTCAAAGAGCAAAACTGCACCTCAAATCTCCAAAACCATAAGCTATTTCTCCAGCCTTTCACTCAGTTTTAAATTGCATAAAACAAACATTTCAAAATTCCTTGCACAATTATCTACCCAAGACACAAAAATCAACAGGCAGTGACTTGCATTCCTTTTCCAAACACAACCAATCAAAATGCTACACTTCTTCACCAGGTCACACAGCCACTCCTCACATGTGCAAACATCAACTGCTTAACTGATCACTAACAAATCACTGCTTTAGTATAGGCCTATAAATAGGTCAAAGGTCAGATTACCTGTTTTGAACATTGGAGGCCAACAATGGACAGAGAGCAAGGAGAATAGAAGGGAGAGGCAGGGGACGACAACGAGGACAAGTTCAAGGAGGAAGAGTTGGAAGACGAGAAAGAGGAGGATGAGGACGACAAGTTGGAGGAGGACGAGGGCAAAAAAGAGAAGGAAGGAGATCCATCTCTGATGAGATTAGTGCCACACTTATTGATCATGTGATCAACCAGAGGTTGACCATGAAAGAAGCTGGACTAAGAGTCCAGCCCAACTTAAGTCGCTTTACATTTGTATCCATAATTCAAACCTTCAGAAATTACAGTTTTTGCCCGTTGCTTGAACACTATAGACCCATGCTTAGACTAAAGTAACACAACTTGAAGCTTTTGTTACCATACCTCAAACACATGTACCCATACTTTAAACAAAAGCGCTGCTTTGCACTCTAGTTGCTATCCTGCAACACACTTACTCCTTTATGCAACTCACTTGGTCCTTTATGCAACTCACTTGGTCCTTTATGCAACTCACTTGGTCCTGCATACTACACATCTATTTCATACAGAAGACACTTCGTTAAAAAATGAAATCTCAGGGTGCCATTTGGAAAACACATGTATCCAAAATACAAAACACATCGAGTAATTGCAACCACTCAAATACACACCTGAAGGCACTTACTTGCAAAACTGAACACCAATCAGCCAGCTACAAAAAGCCCTCAGTTTAGCCATTTCAAGAACTTTGCAAGCATGGATGGAGCGAGAGCAAGAGGCAGAGGTAGAAGAAGATGAAGAGGAGGAGGAAGAGGAAGAGGAGGAGGAGGACAAGGTCAAGGTCAAGGTCGAAGAGGCCATGCACAGACCCCTATTTCTGATGATATAAGAGCAACTTTGGTGGACCATGTCATCAACCATGGCCTGACTATGAGGGAAGCTGGGCAGAGAGTTCACCCACATCTAAGCCGCTTCACAGTGGCATCTGTAATAAGAACATTCCGACTAGAAAACAGGTATGTCTTCAGCTCTCTACCTTCTACTCTACTCAGATGGTATTTACAGCACTGTACTACAGTATATCACATTACCACATCACGTGTACAGGGTATTACAGGGTGCTAATGCTCCTTTTGCAGCCAAAGTGGTAGTTTTTGTGAAACATACCATGCATGATTACTTACAGTATATTGAGATGTTTTAGTTCAGTGGATGATACAGTATATACAGTAAAGTAATGTAAGAAAAAGAAGCAAACCGACGACAGTTTGTGGTTGTACTTCTCTAGAATGAGTAGAAGTCCTTCTGGGGGAGGATGCCAACGCCTGTTCACACAACAGCAGGAACTTGCCGTTGTGCACCTAGTGAGGGCAGGCAATGCCATCCGTCTCCACCAGCTACGACAGAAAATACTTGCAGACAGGCAAGTGTTCAACAACATAAACCATGTGAGCATCACCACCATCAGACGCATTTTGGGAAAACACAACATCACCATGAAGCAGCTTTACAGAGTCCCATTTGAGAGCAACAGTGTATTGGTGAAATCCAGTAGCAGCTGAATATGTACCATATCAGTACCACATGGATTCGGAGAGCTACACAGGTATCTGTGTGATGGGGTGAGGGTTCTGTATGTGTAGCACTGTAGTGTAGTAATATGATGGGTTTTTTTGTTACAGAGAATCTTGGTCATGGATGGAGCTGCACAGCCTCATGAATTCATTTTTATTGATGAAGCTGGATTCGACCTGAGCAAAACAAGACGACGGGGTTGTAAAGTAATTGGCCAAAGGGCAATTGTGCACGTCCTGGGGCAGCGTGGGGGAAATATCATATTGTGTGCCGCCATAAGCCTTCGAGGGCTTCTGCATCATCATGCAATACTAGGTCCATACAATAGCCAACATATACTCACATTTCTAGATGCTCTCCATAATATAGTTGTACAGAACAGCCCAGGTTTGTGGTGGTATGGGATAATGTCAGTTTCCATTATATATTTCCATTATATATTTTTTTTGCTTTATCTGAATTCATGTTACTGCAATGTGCAATATTGAGTAGGCCTATTTGCTTTTTTGGTTGTTTGAAAATGTGCCTCCTGAAAATATGCCTTCTGAATAAACAGTGAAAATCAAAGACTGCAGTGTTTTATATAAAGTAGACTAGTGTGATCCCCCTGATCTGAAAGTGTATGCATATGATGCAAGTATGTGTCAGTTCGTCATCAGAGTTACATTTTGACAAAGGAATGACACAGATGTGAATGGTATATTTCCCAGTGTTGTGTCATGTTTACTTGTGTGTAGAGTTTGGGCACAATGAGCGAAGTTTTGCAAAATGTGTTCAAGCAACGGGCAAAAACTGTAGAACAGGTATGCAACTATCTAATCTATTTCACCATTACAGTATTGAACTGTAAAATACATAGTACTGCATAGTATTGCATAAACATTTGTAGCTCTAAACCATCTATTTACTGCACTGCATTGTATACATTAGATTGATTGTCAAGCTGTACCACAAAATATTGTACATTTCTTACAATAACTACATTGCACACACTCACACTGTGGAAATCTCTACAGAGTGGACATGGTTACACACCCCTACACACACACACACACACCACACACACACACACACACACACACATGCATTTGTTCTTTAGTATGCTACTATGTACAACACCTTTTCCACCGTCACTGCTGCAATGTTTTGCCAAATAAATATTTTCTGTTTCAACATTGCATTGGTGTTTACAGTGTACTTTTCAGCACCTCTCAGCAGGTTTCTTTCACTCTAAAACATTGTATGGAAATGTACACATAAGCCTAAGAAAAACAAAAGAGCTTTAGATTTAGAACAAAAGTGTGTGCATGGTATATCCAAAAATTTACTATTATGAAAAAAGTGCCATTTGATGCAAGTGCTTCCTTTTGGAATGTGTTTATGGCATTTTGAATGCAGTGTTTCATTTGGAAAGACATATGAAGCATTTTGCATTTTGTGTGAGCAGTTTTGGGAATTGTGTGTAGAGTTTTGAAAAAAGGAGACATAGTAAAAAAGTGTGTAAGCAGTTGTAAAAAAAACTGTAACAGAAGACTCTGGCCCAAATGTCCTCTTTGTGGCTCTTTAGAGTGGTGAAGAGGACTGACCATCAGAAATGATTTTATCACTAAAAGCAGCACTTGGTTAGTGATGATTGTTTTTCTTTGAGTTTTGATTTGTGGTAACTTTCTTTGACTGACACAGCGACTTTTGCACATGGCGCAGAACAGATCCAGCAGGCAGTACAGATTGGGCACTGACAATAATGTTACCATGTCCACCATCTTAATTTAGTGTGTTAGCATGCACATGTTCATAATTAGCACTAAACACAAAGTACAGCTGAGGCTGGTGGAAATGCTGTTAATTTTGCAGGTATTTAATCATAAACCAAAGTGATGATGATGCCGCTAGATGAAAAGCAAAATCACCAGTCAATACAATTCATTCTCTTGGGAACATGAATGTCATGTACCAAATTTCACTGAATAGCTGTTGAGAAATTTCACCCAAAATCAAAAATGTCAACATCATTTTGGCACTAAAGGAAAATCCAAGGGATCACAAAAGTCAATTGTATGAATTGTCTGGGAACCATAAATGTCTGTACTTTCTTTTGTTTTGTACCAATCAATCAAGTAGATGGTGAGATATTTCACTGAATATTTTTTGCCTGCAGCTAGAAGAAAAGTCAGGGGGTAGCCAAAGTCATTTTAATTAATTCTTAAGGGACGTTGAATATATATAGCAAATTGCATGACAATCCATCCGATAGTCCTTGAAATATTTCACTCTGAACCAAAAATGTCAACCTCATAGTGGCACTAGCAGTAAAGTCAGAGGATCAACAAAGTCATTAGGTTCATCCTCCGGGGACAATGAATGTGTGTGAAAAATGACACGGCCATCAATTCAACTGTATTTCAGTTATTTCAGTCCGAACCAAACTGGTGGACCTACCGGCTGACATTGCCATCCTTAGAGCCACGCCGCTAGGATGGGCAAAAAGTGACAGCTTTACCAGAAATCAATTTGGGCTAACGGTAAATTTACTGAATTAGGTTTATGCAAATCAATGAACACCCATTGAGTCTGTGCCCCTCTGAAACAAACCTCAGACAAAGCCTGAGATTGTCTGACCCAAAACAAATGATAAAAGCCATAAATCAAGCTATATGCCTGTCAAGATAAATGGCACATCCCCATACAACTGTGATAACACAGATACAGGTGGCACTGGGTTCATCCCATTGTCCATAAATGGGGACGGAGTCTCCAACAGATGGGGCTTCTCTTGTTGAAAACAAAGAAACACATGGACACATGCACATAAGTGATGACAAAGTGATGGATAGATGTTTTTTAACAAATGTGATTCATATTTGAGGTTCAAAATGTAGAGAGAGGGGAAAAAGACCTTCTCTTGTCCAAGAGTCTGTATTGGTGACTGCTTAGAGCTTCAAGCTTAATTGCACTCACACATACACACACACAGACACAGATACACACACACACTTGACAGGGAGCTACTAGCTGGTTGGACGGGTGATTAACACTAGCTTGCTTGTGGTTGAGTGTGCTCCCATCACGGTGAGATTGCTGCAGCCTCTTGTTAACCCTCGTTGTATGAAACAACCCAGTGGCTCACCTTCAAGCACACTTATCAGCCTCTTATTCCCTAACCTCTCTCACTACCAACAATTATGTCTGTGTGTGCATGTCCTTGTGTGTGTGAGTGTGTATCTCTGTTGATCTCACTAGCCAGGAAGTTAGCAGCCGCAGCTTCGAGAGCGCTTCAATATCCTTTCCCTCTAACCTGATTATTAATTACCGTCTGTCTCTAGCTGACCGCAGCCCAAATTCTGTCTAACACTGTTACCAATGAGACCGACACCAAGTTATTCACAAACAAGAGTCAGGAAACAGATTATAGCACATTCACTTACACAGCAGTTGCGCAGTTTTTTTTTAATATACCGGATTCATGTCTGCATCAAGTGTGACATTCAGTTGCAAGTACTTTAATTAATATGTATGCCAAACAAAAGTTTTTCAATCATGTGAAGTAAAATTGCTTAGGCGACACCTGTGACTAGCTTGGCATCATCTCAAAAGCGTCGTAACTCACCAAGCACTCAAGATGAAAACCCATCACCTGTAAAATCAGAAGTTGGTCAATGTGACTGTGCCAGGAAGTCAGTCATGCCTGAGCTGTACAGCACTCAGCAGTAATCAACTTGGACCTGTGCCTGCAGTGAGGCTAAGGGACTTCACTCTTTAAATGGGCTTCAATCAGCTGTGAGTTGTGTGTGTGTGTGTGTGTGTGTGTGTGTGTGTGTGTGTGTGCTTGTATGTGTTGAGATGGTGTGAAGATTATGTATTTGCCTATATGTGCGTTCTGTTATTTTAGTACTGGCCATACATTGCTGTTTTACAATTAGTGACACACACATACACACACACACGCACACACTCACACACAGGTAAAAACTGTAATAGTTTTCTCAACAAAGTGTTTATCCTCGAGGCATGCATGATAACATTTAAGTTTGAAAAAAAACGGGAGTTTTTTTCTGAGGGGGATTCAAACTGTTAAGTCCAAGCGTTGCTTAAATTTGCAGGTGTGCCAGTCAAGAGAGCAGCTGGGCACACTCCCCTTGGATGGGGTTGTGGGTTGCCAGGTTAGGGTAACAGATGCATTGAAATTGCATGCAGTGTGTGGATTGTATTGCATTTCATAGACGATCTCGCAATTTGGTTCACGCCAGAAAAACATCCAAAATTTGGATCAGTGCATGTAATTATTCATGATAAAGTTTGAGGTCCATGCAAATTCAGGAATTTTCCAGGAGAAACACCAAAACAGGAGGGCACCTGAAGATGACCTTCAAATATAGGAGAAGCCAAAGGAAAATGGGAGTGTTGGTGGTTATGTCTTGAGGCCTAACAAATGGTGTTTCCTCATTAAACACTTGAAAAAATAAGGAATGAGTTTTACGCATGTGCATCCTCATGCACAAAACTAAAGGTGCGTTTGAGATGACTGCGGCTGACTTTCACCGACTTGATAGTCTAACATGCGCTGCAGTTGACTGCAGGGACAGGGAATAAAAATGTCAAGTCAGACACATTCTGCCAGTGTGAGCTTACTCAGAGTTTTGGTATCTGATCTCTCCCTACAGTTGCTATTAAAACTGTGCTTGTGTTCAGTTATTATTTCAGGGGCAAGGGGCATGTTGTTTCAGGTACTGGGGAGATGATGAAATATGACCCATGTGAAGGAATGTTTCTTTCATTATAAGTAATATCACACGGGTTTCCCCAGGTCATGTTGGGGTCATTTGTTGAGCTAAAGCAAGTCAAAGCTGACAGCCTGTGACTCTCCAAAACAGTAGGTCAGTTTCTCCTGTGTGGTTATTTACTACATTGTGTTCGCACTCTGTATTGCTGTTGCCTGTCTCTCTGGGCTGGGATTCAATAAACAATGCTGCATAACACATCCAGAGAGTGTTTTTTCACGCAGTGCTGTTAGTACCTATGTCTGTCACACACAGTCTAAGATCACCTCTAGTATTGATCCTTCTGGTCTTGTTATCTTGAAATGAGTGTACAACTGTGTGCTTCCTAAAGGCAGAAAGCCTCAAGTTCTTTGAAGGATGAAGAATGGGTTGAATAGGTGTACTTCCTTTAAAGCTTCAATCATGTTTCCATCCCCTGATTAGTGAATTGAGGGATTTGCTTTAATCTCAAACTTGCTCAGTGGGGGCAAAGGCAGCAAAAAATGGTCTTATATTCTTTCAACATTATTTAACCAAGAAATCAGCTGTTATAATGACTCACAAAAGATTGCTTCCGAACTCTACCACCATGTTAAGCAGTGAAGAGTTCATTTGGCTTTCTCCAAATATAAGCTTCGTTACTTATTCTTTACATTATTATTATTGCTACGGCAGCTGCGGCTTATGTACATGCAGCAGCAGGTAGCTCCTTTAAACTTTTCAACTACATTTTTTGTTTTAATCTGTTATAGGAGCCATGCTGACCAAGCTTGGATTCAAAGCTGCTCCTTGCTAAAGTCTGGTCCCAACGAAATGGGACTTTCATGGGATGAAAAACATCACCGTCTTGTAATCTCAAACTTGCTCAGTGGGGGCATAGGCAGCAAATCGAAGAGCCACCCCGAAGTCCAGCAGCATGGAGGCCCAAAGAAAAGGTGGGGTCCTCATGGCTCCCGATACTGAGGGCTCACATAGCTGCCCAGTGCTACAGAACTACTAGCAGCATCTGCATTTGGGTCCTGTTACCCTGTTTGTACCCGCAATTACATGTCTGAAGTGTTTCCCACAATGTTGGCATTCAGTTTGACACATCCATTTTCGCTGTTACGAACCAGGAAACTGACACTAGATGAGCTTGACTAACCTGGCTGACCAATGTTGGGCTGACCAGGCTAAGCTGACTAGTACTCTACAGCTGACAGACAACAGCTGGCGCCTTGCCAAAACTTTCCTGGTAAAACTCTAGAATTTCTGATCCGCGTCTGCGAGCAGTAAACATAAATAGACTATTTTGACAGAACCATGACTCGAGCTTGTGGATGTTATGTCGCACATTTGGTCTCGGTTTCAGAACCGTTACACCCCTAGTACTTAGTAAAAGTATGTCCCTGTTGCATTAAGTGTCCAGTAAGCCATGCCTATAAGCAAGTGTGTGGAGCTCTGCAACTGAAGCACATCACAGCCATGCTGTCATCATTAACGTTATTATACATATGCTTTTCCGGCTGTAACATTTAGTGTCAGAGAAGTTGACTACGAAGTGATAGCCTTGCCATATTAAAATGTCTTTTTTAAAAAAAACAGAAGTTTGGCTTGTGTTTTCTTTGTAAGTTGTTTAATGTTGCTTTGAAAAACCCATGTGTAAAAGGGGGTAATTCTCTGAACCTTTTAGAGTTGACATATTGTGCTGATGGGTATTAAAAATGACTCGCCCAAGTAGCTGCTCTAACTTTGATTCAGTCACTTCAAAGTGCTTTTTCATGTGGTGTACTGTTATTTTGTCCGCCCCCTGTTGAGTCTGAGCACAGTCAAAACCAATATGCTGCTGGAGAGAAAAGTAGAGAAATAGTGAACATAATGGGAAGAAGTGATGATGGCAGGGGACATATAACGTAAGGGAAGTAGATGTGGTTAATTCATTTACATCTCTAATACACTTTACATTTCAGTCCACTAGAGAGAGCGGATGGGGCAGATCAACTTTGGCAATTATACTTCTATATCATAACAGATGGACCTGGGGGGGGGGGGGGTTCCCTGTTGGTTAGAGGGATTAAATGCTTGAAACTGGGGAGGGGATCTAAAAAAGGGGAGGAATAGATGGAGAGTGCGGGACACAGAGTTTATGGCAGCCAACAGTTGATTGGCTGTGACTGCCAGCCAATGAGTGTAAGATAAGAATAAAGTGACTGGAAGGGTGATTAGATCTATTAGCAGCTGGGGGAAGGGAGTGATGAAGCAAGGGTTAGAGTGTGATGAGTGTGTTTGTGGTTTTGTACTATATTAATGACCAGAAGGAATTAATGCATGTGGTAAATGGAGGACACTCATAAGTACAGTCTATCTATGTGTGTGTGTGTGTGTGTGTGTGTGTGTGTGTGTGTGTGTGTGTGTAAGGTCCAAAAATGTCATCCATAACACATGAAAATTTTTTTTATTTCATTAAAACATGAATATGCCGCACTTTCTCAGTTTTCAGATGTCATTATAAAGGTTTTCATACAGATGTAAATTTTTTGTACATGTAAGAATAAAAAGCTGTAATTACCATAACATAAAAAACATGAAGTAATTAACATAACAAGCAGAAATTGCTTTTTATATCCACTCTGTCATCTCTCCTTTTCTCTTTCTGTACTACCTTCCTGTTTCCAAATCCTTTCATCTCAGCTCTTTTGTCTCTTTCGTCATACTTTTCGTATACACGTGATTTCTGTCTGCCTCTTTCCCTATGTCTTTTCACGCTTCGTTTTGCAAGTGATACATCTTACCTCAACAAGATCTTTGTTGGGAGTTGCACATGAGCGGTTCCTAAGGACTAAGGACTACTAGGCAATTAGAAGCAGAGTAGGGCGGGTCGTGAGAAGCCAGTAAACACACCTTCGGTTCAGCTCTGACCAGCTTAGAAACATGGACTGGAGCAAGAGTTTCAGAGTGGTGAGTTATTAATCTGTAACAAATGTATCTTTCATCCATAAAGATTTAACTGAGCTCTGTCTCTACATCACAGTAACAACTTTATGTCCATTGACTGCCTGGAGGGTAGCTAGTGTTTGGAAGGGAGAGGAGAGCTGTGTGCTGCAGCTCAGTGTTTTTCCACCTGTGTTTTTGAGGGCATGTTGGACTAGCTGCTTGGCAAGAATTATGACGCGCATTTTGCTGTGACGTCACAGAGAACAAAAGGAAAAGGCTGGACAAACGAGCTGTTTTCAGGCAGTTCAGAGCAGTGTTTTCTGTGTGTGGGAGATGAGAACTCCCTTTGGGCTGGACTTTGGGCTTTTTCACTTTGTAAACCTATTACACGCACAAAAAAGATATTTAACTCAATATAAGAGAGGGGAAAGGCCAAAAAGCATAATATGACCTCTTGAAAACCACAGCTAGGCATCCCTTTAGTAGTTTCTTTAGTAGTTCTTTATTTTTGTTTTTACAGAATTTCCCCTCATATTCTTTAATATGTAATTTAAACACGTTTAGAGTTTCTTTAATGCCAATTAAATGTTCCAGTCTCTGTAATAATTACCTCTCAAAAATACAAAAGAAACCCTGTCATCTGTTAAATTCACCAAATTGTGAAGCCAACTGTTAACTAAGGCTTGGGATCACCTCTAAGGTCATTACACTTAATATTGCATAATTGCAGTCATTCACCAGGGGCGGACTGGGACAAAAATTCCTCCCTGGCACTGTAGCCACGCTAGCCCACCTTACCACATATCCCCACGAAAACACATTCACTACTTAGGCTACATTTGTTTACAGATGGTGAAATAATACAAGCAGTAGGTCTACTGTATGTAACAGCAAGTGCTTCACTTTGTGTTGAAAAGAGCTGGTGACATAAGGTCTGAGAATAGGGGTGTGATGAAAGACTTTGGTCAGGAGAACAAGACGAGAAGATATTTTAACACTATTTTGAAGTAGTGTTTGATGGTAAAATGTATGAGCGGGGGGTCCTGGGGTCCTCCCCCAGAAGATTTTGACTTAATTTCCTGCATTCTGGAGACATTTATTTATATGAATGGCAGCACATAATTCAGCAGATGACAACTCAAAATACAACAATAAAATGGAGCTTTTTTTTTGTTGCTTAAGTAATTTTCTTGGATAATGCACATTTGTTTTTTCTATATTTAATTAATGTTTTCTTATTGTGCAAATAAACAAAGCATTTTCATTTGTGATTTAACATTTGTTGTTCCAAGCTATTTTTCAGAACATATTTTAACCTATTTGCTTTCAAAAAGTGATGGAGACATGTCCCCAGCGAACATAATGTAAATGACACCAATGGTAAATGTGACTGGCACACAATGCTCAATAGTTTTTTAAGAGCACACAACAAATTTGCACATGCAGTTAAAACAATGGCTGTCCATCTGAGTATGTTGTAGAGTCTGTGCTCTCTGTCTGTTTGTCTGCTGTTACTGTCTGTCTCTGCTGCAGAGTCAATTACAACCCGACTGTTCTTCTTCCTACCTCTACCACACTCCCTGTCTCTAGCATCCTTCCTCCCAGCACTAGCCTACAAGAAGACCAGGGCTCTCTAGCTGTACCGATTTCAGCAACATCCATGAACACAGTAGCCTATACATTGCAGAAAAATGTTTTCTCACACACTGCACTCAACATTGGAATACACATGAATAAAAATATTACTCACTAGCCTACTTAATTCTGCTCTCCTTGCCTTCACTTCTAATATTTCCACACAAGCACGGAACATACACCTCTTTCTTTTTCTCTTCCCCTGTATTTGTCGGCCCTCTTGACTTTCTCTGTCAGCAGTGGGCTGTTTTATGAAGTGGCCGAAATGACACAGCACTCGCGATTTTTACCCGCGATTCCGTTTTCACCCGCGGGTGCGCGGAGGAGGCAATGAGGAAGCCAATCGAAACCGAAACCAACATTGTACCTAGTTGCACCTGCACAAAAGTGTTCACTGTTACTTTAACTGATCCATGCTTGTGAAATATCCACCTTCTGAGTCTTATAATGTAATGGGTGATCATTTCTCTCAGTGTTTTGCAAAAGTGTTTCCCCTTAATGTACCTCAACGGCCAGCCCAAGTAAAGCTGATGTGTTGGAAACACTGATATTAATATCAATCTGACCAGCCCACCCCTAAACAAATAGTCCTGCCCCTCTTGCATATGCCAGAATTGCCAGGTGGCCAGTCCACCATACTGACCTATATGCTGCAGCTATATAGAAGAAAAACCTACAGGACGCATTGTGTCTTTACCAGTGCTTTAAGTAGAAAGCAGATGGTCCAGTAGTTAGTTAAGTAGCATCCATGCTGCTAATTCATCTAATTATGTCAGCAGCTGGTCAGAATGTTTTTTGGACATATATCCTGTACATGTAGTGGGAAAGACTTGCAGACAATAGCAACACCACAATTTTACATACTAGATGTTAAAAGTTCTATATTTTATTCAAAGAGGCCTAATCAGAGCCAGAAAGTTGGCTGTTTTTTACGCTACAGGTGGAACTACTTTGGTTAACAAGCATCCAAAATGATCAGACTGAATTACTGTATACCAAAAACACAGAAAGAATTGATCCGAGATGTATTTTGCTACATTAACATAGTAAAGTGGTTCATTTATAGAGATAGGAATGTAATAAGTGATAAAATAGGAAGGAAAAGAAAAGAAAAGCAGAGGCTAACTGAATGTGGGAAATAATGTCACTGAGGTGGACATAATTACGCACACAAACACACTGACGAGCTGCAGCAGGTGAGGTAGCGCTTCCACCAGAGGTATTCAGGCATGCTCGGTCCCAAAGCTGCCAGGCTGCAGTACAGATACATCACTACGTGGACCTGGGAGTTGATCAGCCCAATCAGGAAAGCTATGCACATATGATGAGTAAAACATATAATGTGCTTGGGCACATGTGTCAGTGAGTGTTCTCCTGTAAATGGAAATCATTTGCAGAATTTGTTCTTTTTTCATGACATTTTTGTAAGTTGATGTGGGTTGATGTGCACTCACACTGGCCACCAGCCACATATTTCACCCCGGCCCACCAGCTGAAGATCATGGTGGCGTGATGACAGCCGTGAAGGAAGGTCAGCTGACTCTTCTTCTCCCTCAGGATAAAAAATATCTGAACCACACAAACATAAAGGCAAGCATGATCTGCAGGTACAGAAATACATGCACAGGTAAGCAGAAGTTCTATCATCTTTATTTGGAAGTTGCTTGGAGTTTTAAACAAGAAATTTAACTTTACATAACCCTTCACAACTTCTTTTCATCTCCTTCCACACTCAGTGAGCTCTATAACTTTGGAGAGTTAGTATATTGGGTATTGATGGAACAGTGGATACAACACATGCCTTTGATATGAGAGACCTGGGTTCAGTTCCTACTGTGACACATCCTTAACCCCTAGTTGCTCCAGAGGTGTGCAACCTCTGACATAACGCAATTGTAATTTGCTTTGGATAAAAGCTAAATGAATAAATGTAATGTAAAACCACCAACACACTCAGGTCATCTGGTTTCCAGAGTGTAATTTCTACTGTCGAATAATTTGTTTCAAGAAGAACAAACTATTTTTAAAGTGTGATTTTAGGATACACAGATATTTCAGAGAATATTTTGGTCATCAAGGTTTAGTTCACAAAAACCTGTGAATGGACGCTTCAAACTATTTCTACAGCGGAACTTATCTACAAAAGTATGATGTAGTAGAACAACTGACCCTCGTGGGTAGTTGTCACTGTAGTCGACTGGCTGGTACAGCAGACTGTCTCTGGTCACCCAGGAAGAGGCTGGAAAGACTGTATTTCATCTCTGCTTTCTCTCAATCAGTACAGGGACCTTTCATCCCATTTTGTCAGACACAAATTGGCAGTGAATGAGTGAAATCACTTCCTGTTTCACTGATGGCTCTCACAATAGACAGGTCACATAAATACTGCATCCCCTGTTAATTACATTTGTCTGACCTCATAGCTAATAGCATAGAGAATTTTTATGTTTTTAAACCTGAAATAAACCTGCAGGAACAAGGTGACACAACACTGACATAGTATTGCCTTTTAAGTTGATATTGTTAGCAAACAGTTGCCTATTTATACATCCAGCAGGGGTTAAGCAACATCAACATTTATTTGGAGTTGGTGACCTCGCAGATATAAGTCCAATATTCAGCTTTTTAGCTGATAAATGTTCACCAGCTACTGTATATGCTAACTTAAACTAGTTTGGAGTGTTTTCATTGGAAACAGCTGCCTGCTGCAGCCCAAAACAACATTAATAGAGTAGTGTGCTGAAAGACCCTATAAAGCTCTGTAGAGCTCAGAGGGAACTGTCCGGTGATTAGTCTCAGTGGCTTCGTCACTATGCGCAACCCCTTTTACATTACCAAAAAAAATATTGATTATGGCAGCTTTAAAGAATAATGTCAACATTTGAACTCTTGAGACGTGAATCTTTTTGCACCTGTATTTGTTCCATATTTTACTGCTTCTCAAACTTCATACCAGCTTGGATGATTTAGGTTTTCAGGATCCAATTGTTCCTTTCATTCTGCATGTCAACAACTGTTTGGAGGTTGCTCACATGCAACAATAGAAAACCCTCCCCTTGCTCTATGCTACACTGAGCTGTTTTCAGCTGCTACAGCATCCAGCTTCCCATTTACGTACATCCCTTACAGACGTTCCCACATACAGTACAATACTGTCTCATAGAACATGTGTGCAGACAGGCAGACCATTGCAAAGTTGTAAACTATCAGGACGGGTTTAAAGTTGACTGGCTACCCCTAGATTTGGTCCCCACCCATATAATGGCCAGGTAGCACAGAACGATACAGCTGATTGGCACAGGAGAGCAGATCAGTGGCCAACTGTCTGTCCTCTTGTCTAGACAGAGAAAAAGCAAGAGAAAAGCAAAGACTGTGTTTACGTCTGACAAGAATACTAATAATATATAATATCAAGAAATACGTGAGTTATTACATTGATAAAGTGAAAATAAAGACATGTCTCCATTTTCCAGAATCCCTAAGTACAATAATTTGTATTTCTGACACATAGTGAGAGCCTGGTAACCCTGAGATAGAAACACATGAAAACTGAACCAAAACAGCTTCAAAACAATATCTGGAAGAGGCCCAGCTCAAAAAATGGCTGATACAATACAGGAAAAGCACTACAATCTTTGAAGGCCAAAAATGGGAAGTACACAGAAGTACTTGCCCCTGAGAAGAGAAAATATTTACAAGAGATCTTTCTTTCTTTCACAGAAAGTGCTGCAGCTTTACGGATTTTAAATTCAAGATGAAATCATGGCTGAAATATTTAACACAAACACTTGATGTGGCTTAATGTTGTCAAATCTGGATGTTGTTGCTCATTTTCTTGTACAGTGAATATGTAATGGCATAACAGTGTATTTTATATTGGAGCAAACTGTGACAGATGTTTTACATTATTTCTAATCATGTATGACTTAATGTAGGATTCAGCAAAGGTGTTGTCAAAGATGTATTACCACTACAATAAAGTTGTATTGTGTTATATTGAAACATGGCTTGGAACTCTCAACCTTAATCAGGGTCAGTAAGTAAGTGCAAAAAAGTCTTCTGGAAGATGTGATACTTAAATGGAAAAACATCACAGAACAAATTAAAACTATTTGTAATGGGATGCAAAAAGTCTTTTTTGCATTTGGTGTTAGCAGAGTGAAGTATTATTACAAAACAACTGACATTTTGCAGCTCCTTTGAAAGGTCTTAAGTAAAGAAGAACACTCCACTGCAAATTTGATTAAGCCACCTAGAGATAATCTGCATTATAATTCAAGGATTATGTTCACTAATCCAAACGTATCTCTTGATAATGGATAATAAGTAATAATCCTCTTGATGAATGGCTGCCTTATGTGGACAACAGAGTTTCCATATATGATTAACATAATGACAGTGCTGCCATCTAGTGTTTGCAGATGAAAGCTCTGCACGCAGCAGGTCAGGTCAGTTACTCACACAGCAGTACAGTCGTGGTCAAAAGGTTTTCACGAAGTGCTGCTTCCGTGTTTGTAGATATTTTTGTCAGATATTACTACTGAAGTATAATTAAAAATTATAAATAAAAAGCATTTCATAAGGGTCACAGGCTTTTTATTAACAATTACATTCAGTTTATGCAAAGAGTCAATAGTTGCAGTATTGACCCTTCTTTTTCAAGGCCTCTGCAAATCGCCCTTGCATGCTATCAATTAACTTCTGAGCCACATCCCGACTGATGGCAGCCCAGTCTTGCATAATCAATTCTTGGAGTTTGTCAGAATTTGGGTTTTTTTGTTTGTCCACCCGCCTCTTGAGGATTGACCACAAGTTCTCAATGGAATCAAGGTCTGGGGAGTTTCCTCGCCATGGGCCCAAAATTTGATGTTTGTGTTCACTTTGGTCTTATGGAAAAGTGCTTCGTCATGCTGGAAAAAGCATTGTTCGTCACCAAACTGTTTTTAGATGGTTGGGTTGGTCTCCGAGGATGTTTTGGTACCATTCTTTATTCATGGCTATGTTCTTTGGCAAAATTGTGAGTGAGCCCACTCCTTCAGCTGAGAAGCAACCCCACACATGAATGGTCCCAGGATGCTTTACTGTTGGCATAACACAGGACTGATGGTAGCGCTCACCTTGTCATCTCTGGACAACCTTTTTCCAGATGCCCCAAACAATCAGAGAAAATCACTTTAGCCCAGTCCTCAGCAGTCCAATCCCTGTAACTATTACAGAATAATAGTCTGTCCCTGATGTTTTTCCTGGATAGAAGTGGCTTCTTTGCTGCCCTTCTTGACACCATGCCATCCTCCAACAGTCTTCGCCTTACTGTCCATGCAGATGCACTCGCACCTGCCTGCAGCCATTCAGAGCAAGCTCTGCACTGGTGGTGCCGCAATCCTGCAGCTGAATCAACTTTAGGAGACGGTCCTGGCGCTTGCTGGACTTTCTTGAGCGCCCTGAAGCCTTCTTCACAACAACTGAACCTCTCTCCTTGAAGATCCATTTTTTTTGCAAGGAAGAACTTTGCAATTAATTGCAATTCATCTGATTTCTCTTCATAACATTCTAGAGTATATGCAAATTGCTGTCATAAAAACTTTTGACCAGGACTGAGCTGAGATGCATGTGTATTGGTGTCTTATGTCAGGACGTGAGCTCCCCCTTGTGGTGTTGGTCAATTAATCAGCTGTGTTGTGGTTTTGGAATTGTTTTTTAGATGTAGAATCTTTTAATAAGAGACAACAGGTGAATAGGTGCACTTCTCCTGTACTGAACATCAGTAGTGCGCTCTGTCTCAAATACAGAGTCAGCCTTTCTCCCAACTCTTTAGGAAACATTCCCCCTAAGAGTGGAGCTCACAAAGGTCATCTTGGTATTGTCTCTTGGAGTTTAATGAACGAATGAGTATCTCAGTAAAATTAAACACAAATTAAATTAAATTGTGAAAGAGGCTTTGAAACAGCATATAGGGAGATCAAACTTACAAAACATATGATTGAACAGATAAATGAATTAATATTCATGCAATTTAACATGTTTTTGGGGCCTGGGGTGATGGTTGCACTGGGAGAAAGGACTGCAGAAGGTGGATTGTCTCTGCCTCTTCCTCTCCTCCTTAACATCTTAGTGGATCAATGCCTCACAGCTTCTAGGAATGGACGGTGCTCTCACATTTTCTTTTACTGCTTCCCAGCACACAGTGACCCAGTCTCAGTGCTTTCTTAATGTCCAGTCACTCTCCTGATTGAGTCACCAATTTGACGCATAAATCTTAACTTTATACCCTCTGTCCAGTAGGCAGTGAGCAATAACATATGTACATAGTCTTTTTAAAAGGGAACCATAAATAAATATGTTTGTATCCAAGCATTTTGTTTACCATTCCACCACTGAATGTAAGTGAAAGCACTAATTACCGTATTGACACAAGCAGCAGACTGAGTGGATTAAGTAGTTTAGCCAGGCCAGGCATCTAAAACCTGCTGAGGTTTATTAAGTAGGTTTAAGACCTAAAGCATTGCTGAATAGAAATTTAAAGCAATCTGCAATACTTTACAAGAATCACAGTATACAAAGCTGGTGGTGCACTATTCATTCAATCTGGTGTTAGGACAGAAACATGCACGTAATCATGGGGAAGAATGACAACAAAGGAACTTAAGTTGTATTAATTGCAGCTAACTAAGAACTGCAAATATTGACATATGCTTAAATATTTCATGTGAAGTCTTTTTTGAGGACAGGACAATCCTGTCTATCAATCTTTTCATCTCACCAAGAAAACAAATAAGCAATCTCCCAAAACTATTACTTTAAGGTCTCTTTATTGTGAAAAGGGATTACTGAAAGAGAAACAAATATCCTCCCATCTCCAATTACATGAATTGTACAGGTACTACACAAGTCACCTATCATAACACTAAGAGACACCAAATGTATTTTCTTTTAATGGAGAACAACCACCTAAAGGTTCATTCTACGTTCAGGTAATTATTCAGAAGTAAAGTTTTAAATCTACAGCAAATGTGCAAAATGTATTAAATAGGGCAATGGTCGTTTTCTGTTGTGATTTATATCTTACGATTTAATTGGATTAGTATGCTAATCTAATTTATTATACCACCTCTCAAAATACTTGTACACATTCAAGTGAAGAAAGGACATCACTTGAAACTCTTAAAATCTTTGTTATATGTATATAGTAATGTAGTAACACAGCATATCACTTTCAGATCCTGCACGAGACGGGCTTGACAGAAGCAGAAATGAACATGTTTGAACGGTAATCTGACTGATGTCTTCTCAGCAGCAGTGTACAACATCCTCTGACTGGGTGACAGGAACCATCAGTCCATCCAATCTCTCCACACACATCCATCTACAGCCTCCTGCAGACAGGTTTTGTACCATAGACTTCATTAATGCGAGAGGACAGAGTAGGACTGACGACACCATCCACACAGAGGAGTGAGGTGTGGAAATAGCTAGCAGAGAAACCACAATCTGATTACTGCTTAAACAGATTCAACCACTCAGTGAACTGATGTTTACCTGTATGTTCTGCCATCAAAATAAAAATATTTCACCAAAAGTAAACCCATCCTAATTAACCTAATCAGAAAGAAGCAAGTAAAAACACTAGTAATTTAATTGGCACCCTAATTATTCACCATTATGACTGTGGTTGCCGGACTGCTGATGCTACTGCGGATGGGGGTGATGATGCTGAGCAGGGTGGTGGTGATGGTAATCATGAGGATCATGGTGGTGGTGATGAATTGGCATAGGAGGTGTGTCTCCCTCGTCTGGATCATCAGTGCCCAATTGAACTGTGGGTACTGTAGTTGACTGGTTGACATTAACCTGCATTGTCCCGTTCTGCATGGTGATGTTCTTGTCAATTGATAAAGTAAAATTAGCCTGGGGAAGATAAAACATGTTATATAATTACTAATGTTCTAGTTTAAAGCAACACTAATTGCATTTACACATCTAGCAGACATGACACAACATTTTCATTCACTTAGAGTTTTGTTTCTGACCAATATTCTCTGTTATGGTTTCCACCAACTCCTCAGATAACTAACTGCCTCCTTTCTTAGCTCTAGGTGCTAAATGCTTTGCTATGCTGAACATAGCTTTGTCTGTGTGCTGCTTGGTGCTGGGCAGGTCGTGTACAATTGGTTTATCAGAGCTTTTTTTTTCAAACTGAAAAGAACTGCCTGCTGCTGGGAACAAGGTTAATGTGGGGCAGAGTTTGCAGGATGGAAAACCAAAACAATGAGCTAAAAGAAGATAAGGAAAGTCAGAGGCTGTGAGGTGCAGAGTTGGGTGATAATTCTTTGTGGGTTGGTCACAATGAGCGACCATTTTCACACTTCATATAGCCATTTAAACTATTGTTAATATGGCATTTTATTTTGGATTGAGTGAGTAATTCATACTAAACCTTGACAATCAATTGTGTGTGTGTGTGTGTGTGTGTGTGTGAGTGAGTGAAAGCATTTGCATGTGTGTATTTTGTGATTACTCACAGAGCAATTGCAGATGTTTCTATGATATGTGGCTCTGACTGCAGCCTCTACATAGGGGTAATGCAGGAAACTGTAAGGCAGCACTATATGGTAGGTGAGCAGACCACACCTGGAGAAAAAGGAGAGAGAGAGCGAGAGAATGAAAATGTAGATGGGAATCTTTGCAATTTGATTGGTGCTTAAGATTAATTTGAAATACCATTCGTTTTCAATTAAACTAATCTCTTCATTTAGTGAGATAAATCATAGTTGTGCTTTTGCAATCTTTCATAAGAGTGACCTCTATTTTACAATCTGGAAATTGGTGATTGGAAGAATCAACTATTAACGCAGAGCACAGTCAAAATCATGACATGAGACCCTAAAAACTGGGAGGCCAAGGTGCTGGGACTAGTAGTAATATTTTATGCATTTTATGTTTGCACTCTAGCATCATCAAAGAGCTGAAACATATGGGTGTTTGTCACAAAACATTTTTTAATGGAACTACGTCTTGACGAGGTGACTTGTCTTACCTATCATAGACTAGGAAGTCATCTTTGTCACCATCCAGAGCATCCCACACGTCAGTCTGAAGGGCAGCCTGCTGGTACACAGGAACACCAGGGGGCGCTCTTCTCTTCAGCTCCCAGAACATGGCTCTGGACCGAGCCTCACGCTCATTTACTATCATAAAAGACACCTCTGTCATGTTGCTGCGGTTCAGCTTGTCACGCAGGCCTCCAATCCTAAACAGTGACAGACAGAGAAAGAGTGAAAGCTGGTTATAATGTCAACTCACCGCTAATCCAGACACTACAGACAGCAACTCTTAATTAAAATCAATGCAGGAGGAGTTCGTAAAGGCACTTTTATCCACCCCACCAATTGTGTTTTGCATTTTTACAAAAATGAATTTGATCAAAATGTAAAATGAGTATTTATAATTTAATCTTTCAAATTCTCTGGAAGTAATACAATATAATGGACAGATAAGACAGAGATCTTTGCTTTGGTCCCCGCTTGGCAGGTTGTATTGCCATATGTGCCAAGAAGAGAGCTGAATGACTGTGTGTGTGTGTCAAAAGGTTAATCCTTTAAAACTTCAATCATGAAATAGCCATTTCAAATTTGACATAATGAAGAGTGCCTAAATTCTTGTATTTTTTTCATTGGAACATCTTCCAAACAGCAACATCTTTGACATTTTCCAAACTTATTTTTACCCTCCTGATCCTTTTCTTCTTTCTCCTGGAGAGAACATAATGTGTAAATAATTATGAAGAACTTAAATCATCTCAACCAAAAACATCACTGATATCTTTGACGGACAGCAGACATTTGGACTTGTTACGGTAGGAGTACCACATATGTTACTAATAACATTAACAATGGCTCTGTTCTGTTCAAGTGTCCCAGTAAACCATGACAGTGTGATAATGAGCCAGCATACACAATACCAGGACCCTGAAATTGAAGCTGCTAAATGGAATTAAGCCATCATTCATTTTATTATTTTCCTACTGTGACAATTCAAAATGTCTGCTGTGAAAAAGCACTACTCAGGTTAAATGTAGTCAAATGTTATCTGTCCATCCATCTATCCATCTTCATCTGCTTTTCCAGGGTTGGGTCGCGGGGGCAGCAGCTCCAGCAAGGGACCACAAACTTCTCTTTCCCGAGCCACATGAATCAGCTCTCGTTCCCAGGCCAGTGTGGAGATATAATCTCTCCACCTAGTCCTGGGTCTTCCCCGAGGCCTCCTCCCAGCTGGACGTGCCTGGATCACCTCCAATGTTATCGGTGCCCTCTGATATTTTTAACACTACATATCACTGATATATGCCTATTGAACTATTAAATTGTTTCATGAAACCTGGTTTCTTACTTGGAGGCCTGAGTGAGACAGAACTGTCAGCTGGCCTTCAGTAGTGCCACCACAACCACATTTCCCAACAGCTCTTGCATAGGTGCGCGTCCCTTTATCTTC